CTGCATACTTTAGTATTTGTTCATTTATCGTGAGTAATATCGATATCGCAATATTAAGCACTGTTATCGAATATCGCAGGTTTTCCTAATATCGTGCTGCCTTAGTTGCGCGCTAGGATGATGTTGATGCCAAATCAAAGCGGAGACTCACCTCTTACATCAGGAAGAATCCGCACGTTTCGAGTGTTATCTGTTCTTTCATAATCCGTTGTTGAATTGTGATCGGCAGAAGCTTTTCCGGTTCGCGCATCACTTTTTTTTACATCAGCAGCCCAAAACGATCTAACACATGGATTTTCTGCTTCCTGATCACGTGACGTGTGACGTATGCGGATGAAGATTGGCTTGAGAGCTGAGATGTTTTTTCTCAAGGTGCGGGGGGCTCGTTCCGACGCTCACACAGTAAAAACATGCAAATAAAGTTAAAGTTAAAGTCCCATTAATTGTCACACAGACTGATGTGTGTGCAAAATTTGTTCTCCGTATTTGACCCATCCCCTGGGGGAGCGGTGAGCTGCAGACACAGCCGCGCTCAGGAACTATTTGGTGGTTTAACCCCCCAATCCAACCCCTTAATGCTGAGTGTCAAGCAGGGAGGCATTGGGTCCCATTTTTTCAAAGTCTTTGGTATGACCCGACCAGGAATCGAACCCCTGATCTCTCAGTCTCAGGGCGGACACTCTACCACTAGATCACTGATATGGTACGCGACTTTAGTCGTCATTGGCAGTGAACGGTTGGATTTAAAATGACAACTTTACTCGTCAATGGCAGTGAATGAGTTAGTTTATTTACTCCACTTTAATGTAACTGATACTAATATTTATCTTTTAAGAACCACAAGGTTTTGTAACTTGGGTTCCTTTTAAGCCTTTAAATATATTTCACCTAGTGTTGTTATCCATATTTTGTGGATTAAGAAGCCCCAATAAAACAATTGACTAATTATTTAGCATATTAGCGCTCTAGGGGGTTCTTGGAGAAACATTAGGATTGCAATTTAAGCAGCTCATTCAGGGTTGTTTTATTATTTTATTTATGCATTGACCTACCCACAACAGTGACAAAATCATAAGGAAATTTTCTTCTCTGCATGTGCACCACATACTCTGGATCATGATAGCCATGACTATGCTGCTCTATAGACTCGGTCTTTTCTCTTTACGCTGGACTCTCGAGGCTCTGTGGGACAGAGTGTATGTAATTCAACTCCCACAAGCACTGCACAAGTGTTCGAAACAAATACACACAGCCTTACCTTATTGAGGTGCTCCTCCAGAGCAAAATATAAACAGGAAACAGTGTGGACTATACTACAGGGGTTAGTGACTGATAAAGGTATTGCTTCAAACAGAAATGAGCAGGCAACGGAGGTGAAGTCACGCTGGCAAAGCTGTGCTGCTGCTGGCTCTGGGCTAATTTAACCCACGGTTAAACTTTGATGCACTATGTTCTTGAAAAGAGTCTGTGGTTGCAACTCTTGTAGTGTTTTCTGAGTGTGTGGGCAACACAAATGGAACAAAACAAGGGGTGTCTTGGAAATTATGTGTGTTAACTGTAGTTGTCCATTTTTTTTAAAATTGGAAATGTGAAAATAATAGAAACTGTTTCATTTAGAGGGAGAAAATAAATGTGGGGCTGGGGGGACTTTTTTAGGGTTTCAGGGCATGGATGCTCATCAGTGTTATAACTGATTAGTGGGGGTCCTTATAGTTACGCTGGGAGCAGAACTGATGAGTCCAGCAGCAGCCTTCTGGTGTTTGGCTAATCAGTCCTCCAGTGGCTCTGTGCTGTGTCAGTGGTGTCCTGCTGCTAATAGTACACCAAAAATGAAACTGACTTGTGCAGCTTTGAAGCTCACCTGCAGGAAATCAGAGTTGATATGTTTTGAGACATCAAGTGATGCTAATGTTTGATTCCACATAACAAATGTTGGACTTGGGTTGGTTTTGATTTGTTAAAATGTTCATGGACAAGTCACATGTCTAGTGGGGATGGCATTTGATTTCTTTCTGCAACAATTACAACATTATTTTTCGTGTCAGTCATGTCATGGTGATTTAGTGGTAATTCAACAAAGACATGAGGTGTGTGCTAGATTATTCATTCATCTATTAATTTTGTTCTGCGTATCCAGCGTCAGGTCAGGCGCAGCAGCCTAAGCAGGGAGGCCCAGACTTCCCTCTCCCCGGCCCCTTGGTCCAGCTCTTCTGGGGGAATCCCAAGGCGTTCCCTGGCCTGCCGAGAGACATAGTCCTTCCAGCCTGTTCTGGGTCTTCTTTTAGATTCCTCCTGGTTAGACATTCCCGGAAAACCTCACCAGGGGTTAGAGTTAGGGTCCAGGAGGCATCCTATCTAGATGCCTGAGCCACCTCAACTGGCTTCTCTTGATGTGGAGGAGCAGCGGATCTACTGTGAGCCCCTCCCCGTGCTTCTCACACTATCTCTAAGGGAGAGCCCAGACATCCACTGCTTGTAATTGTGATTTCATTCCTTTGGTCACAACCCAAAGCTCGTGACCCTTTGTTGAGGGTAGGAACAAAGATGGACCAATAAATCCAGAGCTTCGCCTTCCAACTAAGCTCCGTCTTCACCACGACAGACCAGTACAACAGCCGCATCAACACAGCACCTCGATCTCTATCGATTGACACTATCAATCTCCCACCTCCATCATTCCCAAAGACCCTGATATACTTGAACTCCTCCATTTGGGGCAGGACCTCATCCCTGACCTGGAGAAGGCATTCTACCCTTTTCCAGCTCAAGACTGTGTTCTCAGATTTAGAAGAGCCGATTCTCATCTCAGCTGCTTCACACTCTGCTGCAAACCGCTCCAGTGAGAGCCGGAGATCAGGCTCTGTTGAAGGCAACAGGACCACATCATGTGCAGAGACCTGATCCTTAGGCCACCGAAACAGATCCCCTCAACACCTTTGTAATGATTTAATTTACATCTATTTAATGAACCATAAGATATGAGATTCCATAGAAAATATGAAATCAATCTCATGGATCTTTGGATAACTTAAACAAGAAGATTGGAACTTTTTATTGCAGGGATTATGTAACCACTTCGTATTAACTGAGAGACAAGAGAGGATAGAGTCACATTTAAAACGTTTAAGAAGATTTATTTCTAAACAATTTTAAACAAGACTAACTCTAAACTCTGAATGATGAATGGATCTTGGTGTGAATGAGACGTGAGATGGCTGGTGTATGTGTGAGTGATGTCATCAGAACTCTCGTATCCGGAGAAGCAAGTCTGAGTGAAAAAGTGATGTTTTGCTCTTAAGCTATGATCAGAGTTTCATAAACACATGAGACGCCGTATTGTCGCTCCACACCTACCCTTAGGATGAGACCTCCGTACAGATCCAGAATGCCAGGTCCTCGGACCCCCCTCTCGGTACCGGAGCCGATGAAACAGCGTCAGCAGTACGACAGACTAGTCTTTGGATTGTCTCCAGGTAAAAAGCGACAGTTGGTTGACAGCGTCAGATGGACCCTGAGGGTCAGTGAGTTCAGCTTTTATTCTGAAAGGAACCGTTGCTTGGTTGGTAAAGTGCAACAGATTTTATCCAGCTTTTTGGTTCTTTGCTTAAAAAGGAAGTCCGGGTGGCCGGTCCGATACTTCTCTTAGAATGCGGTGAACTGAACTAAGATGGCGAGGGGACTGGTTTTATTAATCTGGATGTTTTGATTTATGGTCGAATCAAAGTTTGACAGATTTATAAACACCACAGAGACTATGCCACGCTTCAGAAAGGAAGGTTCTGATTGGATGAGAAAGATAAAATGTGTCATGTGGCTTACGCATTATGTGGATCAGGATGTCTAGTGCAGCTAGATTAGTCATTTTATTAAAACTTACTAATCATAACATTGTTATTTCGCAGATTGGTTCACATCTTATTATTGGACTAACACTTTGTTTGATTAGCTTTATTAAAAATAGAAAGAGTTTGTCTTCTTTCTTCTCTTGAGCTGGAAGGGGAGCAGTTTTAGAAGCAAATGCATGACCTTGAGACAGTCTCATGCAGATTAGTTCTGTGTAAAGCCGGGCGTACACTGTACGACTTTTTCACTTTTTTGAGCCGATTTTCCACTCGTGCGAGAATCCACGAGATCGGGGCGAGTTTTGCGCCGAGCGTCGTGTAGTGTACAGGGGGTTACGAGAGGCGATTAACACCACGTGACCAGCTACCGATCAGCAATTGTGAGCTCGCATGGACTTCTGGCGTGTTTAATATTTTGCTCGTCCCTCGTGAGGGTATCACTCTGTTGAAGCGGCTCTGCGAGCAGCTGTGACCCAAAATGTATCAGAACCGCTCATGGCGCATGCACAATCCTGCATCAACACCGCTCGCCCGCTATTTCTCTAATAACTCACGTTGTTCGTTTTATTTCTACATGTGTTTTTTACTCACAAAGATTGTCAAGAAAGCGTGTTTGTTGTGTTCATGTCAAATAAAACTGATCACAAAACTCCGATTTACTTTCTTTATTTCGTTTTCCTCATCCAACCCCCATAAATCCCTGTGTGTCCTCCTGCAGCACTCCTGAAGGACAACAGGCAAAACAAGACAAAAAAGTCTGACGTGTTGAGTAAAAACAGCTATTTTTAACATATTTTTAGGGCCGACGTGTTGCTACCAGACGTACAGTGTGAGCAGTCAGATCGCATCTGAGAACTGGGTCGTGCAGTGTGAGCACATGACTCATGAGATCTGCCCTGCGAGGAAGTCGTACAGTTTGAGCTGAAGCTGAGTGCTACGAGTGAAAAAGTCGCACAGTGTACGCCCAGCTTCAGACATCTGAGGAGAGAGGGTAAATAACGTTAGGTGGAATAGCTCCTTCATCACGTTGCACCTTGGCTTCACCTAGAAATCCTGTCCAAAAAAGTCATAAACAGAGTTGTGGTTGATGATGTCATGTTTAAATTAACTCTGTGAAATAAGGTGAATTAAATATTAAAATTTCTGCTTCTTTTTCAGAAAGGATTTTGTAGATGGGAGAGAAGATGGCAAACCATGTTCCTGACTTGTGAAAAATTAATGTGAGTCATGAAGTTTACATTCTTTATACCACAATTATCTAAGGTGATGACTTGAGGAGTGTATCTTTAGCCTTCTGTTGTAGCTACAGTAACAAATATATGTATAAAAACAGTTGGTATGCTCTGTGATGATCCCTAAGAATATGTTTTGACAGAAAAGCACAACATTTTCCCAAAGTGAATTTATCATGCAATACAAATACGAACCTCTGAAAAGTTCTCCTCAGTCCCAGAGCAGGAGAAGCACGTACAATACTCTCAAACAGCAGTCGCTGCAGCTGTCAGGTTTTAAGAAGTTCTGAATCAAGTAGACGATAATGAGAAATTACCATATGGAAGGAGGATCGCTCTAATTATCTCAAAGCTGTTTGCCTCAACGTACACCTGTGTGTCCTCGTTTTTTGCAGTAGTACCATTGTACTGTAACTAGGAACTGCACCTCACTCTCTTGGCTCCACCTTAATCACCGTTTCTGTTCAGCACACTGACACCTTAGTGTGCAGAAACGTTGCTTCTTTTGACATAAAATGAAAACACAATATATTTCAGATGGGAAGTTTGCAAATGGTGTTAGATTTGACCTAGTTTTCCTTCTTTTATTCTTAAATGTGTTCGTTGGGCTTTGTTTGCTGAAATAGTCCATTTCTAATGTTAATGGTGTCAGGTTTATAGCGCGGCAGGCAATTATTATTGCAGAGTTTTTGTTTATTATTTGTCTATTTTAAAGAAGTGGTTTTATTGAAAAATAAATATTAAAATGACCTTAAATGAGCAAAATAGTCAGTGTTTTTTACATAGATGAATGATCTTTTAAGAAGTAATAGTTTTAAAGCCATTGCAACGTTGTAAAACAGTCAGTGGCTGACACGTAAGCCATCAGTTTGATGTGATAGTTGTGTCCTCCCTGTGTCTCTCTGAGTTATCAGCCAAGGGAGGATTTACTACCCTCTCTTGATCCATCGCCCCCTGCACAACAGCGTGATTGGCATCTTAAACTGTGGGTTGATCTTGGGTACGCTGATAGGACTCTGTGAAACAATTAGCTGACCTATGCACACGAAAACCTTTCTGACCCCTATTATACCTGAATGACTCCAGTTTGTAGACCTCAGTTTTATCCTCACCTTTGAAAGACTTTAATGTCCTAGAAAACCGTTTACTACATTTGTTTAAAGCAGATGTAAAACGTATATAGCCTCCTTTCCACCAGATGTGAAAGCTGCGTAACGTAATAGCAGCGTTTTACCGACGAGCTCCTGTTCAACCGGGAGCGATTCAAATGCGAAACAGGAGTGAAAATCATGGGAGAATTGCAACACCACACGTGATTTCAGAAGTCCACACAATAACAAGCAAGGAGAAAGATGGTTGCATTTATCCCAGAACGACTGTTGTTTATTTTTTTGTTCTGTTTACTTCGGCTACAGGGGTTTCACAGGAAATTACATACGTTTATCTGCACGTGACTTTTATTTTGAAAGTTTCTGGATGTTTTACACAGCTGTCCTGTTTGACTTCCTATCTGGCCTGATGTAAACTGTGGAATTTGATGAGCTTTGTAAGCATAGAGTTTAAAAAACATAATGCTACCAACTCTTCACTTCTGTGTTGCGTCCAAAACGTCACTCTTTGCTGCTGTTGGAAACGAAACCGTCCACTATAACAGCAGCGACTTGCCGTGAAGTATAATTCGTGGACGTTTCACGACACTTCTGGTGGAAAAGAGGCTAAATACTGATTTTTTAAATATGATTGGTCACGCTAAGTTGCATATACGTGCAGATTGTCAAAAGGGTCTTATACCCCCCTTTCAAGTATTAGCTGCTAAAAAACGGACGGGGAAATGCTCGAGTCAGAAAAAGCTACACAGATCTATGTCACACTGTAATTTACACTTGCATTTGCACTCTTGGAGTCACCCACATTTGCTTATGAACAGGGAAGGCTGTGTTGATTTAACGACCGAGAGAGAGCAGAGCATGTCTTGGCTAATAGAAGCTAACAGTTAGCATTAACAACTACACAACACAGCAGAAAACATTAAGGCTTGTGTTATTTGGGAGATATAACATCATCGCCTCTTTTAACGAATAAAGAGGGAACGGAGGCAGCAGAATAGGCATGTTGTTGTTAGCCAATCAGAGGAGAGATGTTTGAAATTTATTAATATTAATGAGTAGGACTCCACATCCTGCTGTTTTTTGTTCTCTCCAGACCAATCACAGGCTGGCAGTATCACACTTTCACCAGACAGGTAAAAAATTGGGCATGTCTCCGTCACCCTCTGCGGTCCTGCTGCAGAGCCCTTCCATAGACCCATAATGGTGTTGCGTGTCTCTGTACCCACGCAGACACAGAAGTATAAATCAGGCTTTATGGTGAAAACAGCAGTAGGATTAAGTGTTCCGAGCACAGGACCAAACCTGTAAGAACTGAGGTGGAAAAAAATTCAGTGTGTGGTGTGTTTTATTCCTTTTATCCATTGACTTTCTCGTATTGCCTGTTGAAGCTGTCAGCGTGCTGTCACATGCATGGTGATATAAGATTTTCCTGTTTAATCCAGCTGCCACTCTACCTCACTGAATTCAGATTTTTCTAAGTGACGGCTTACCTGTAAGAGTGAGAACCACGTTTTATTTATTTATTTGTGCAGCCAGTAAAGAGAAAAACCAAAGTGGTACTACTCACATCCACTCGTGATCAGAATGTTTCTGCTGTCTGGCTTTAGATATACTTGAATTTTGTTTTTATCTTTATCAGATTTTATGGGTAACGCTGGAGGCTGGTGGGGCGCACGTCCTCACCCAACCCTCACAATGACTTCCTCGTTAGAGCCTACTATCTGGCTCTGGGTCCCTCTGTGGACTGCGTGAGCTTTCTCTTGCTTCTTTCACTTCCTTTGGCTAATTGCCGCCTCAGCCGCTGCTGTCTGTCCCTTTGTGATTGAGTGGTTCAGGGATTTACCCCATTTCTCACCCTCATGCCAGCTGGGAAAAACCCCACACTACACTGTGGTTCTCAATGAGGTTTTCACAGTGAACGTGGTGCAATTTAACTCCTTAATGGTAATAATACGTAAAACTCTTTTCATCAACGACCAGATTTTTTGTTTTAAGCCTAAAGAATGAATGAAAACTATAGAACAGAAACAGGGCCAGAATGTTTGGATGATTGAAAAACAAAACCTGCAGCTGAAAAAATATAAAGTTGGAAGTGAATGTTAAATTTATTCTACATTTTGGAAAACCTAAAAAGTGTATTAGAAAATAAGGAAGTGAAATTATATTTTTATTTTTGTTTTGGTGTGTAGTTTTATGCTTTCGGATCCAAATCTGTTTTCTTCAGGTTTACATCTTATTTTTTTATTTTTGTCTAGTTTGACTTAATCTGTTTTTAACGTTCAAGTTGGATATTTCAGAGTCAAATTTTGGCCCTGGTCTTACATTAATAAGAGGGGGAAAGTGATTAACAGCCATCAGTAGGGCTGGAGTGTCCACCTCTTAACTGTTGGAACGTCCATAACTTAGTCGACACATGCTATGCCTTCTTAGAATCAGACGCAAAATCTGGTTTCATAAGACTTTCCAGCTACGACGGTCACAATAAAAATACAGGAATGTTATGTGTGGAATGGAGAGCCATAATAGAAGTATAGAAATTTCCTACAACAATGAAGTAGCCCCTACGGCCGTTCAATACAGGACCAGGACTGATGTACGGCCAGATTCACTGAGAAACCGTTTTTTGCTCATTTTTGAAAATGTTCAGTTGTCCTGAGTTTAACATTCAGGCTGAATGTGAAAATATTCTTCTACCACTGTTTCGTGCATCAGCTTCTGGTAGAAAATAGATGGAAATACTCTGTTCAGAAAAGCTTGGCAGACCTACGTCACGCTGTCTTTTAACTTTCGTAAACTCGCACACCTCGGCTTATGACGGGGAAGGCTATTGCTGGTTAAGTGTCCAGAAGAGAGCAGAGCACGTCTAGGCTAGTAGAAGCTAACCATTAGCATTAGCAACTCCACCACATGGTCCAACTCCTCCAGGCTTGTGTTATTTGTGGATATAAACCATCAACGTTGCAGAGCAAACAGTCAGTGTTAGAGTCATGTTGCTGTTAGCCAGTCAGAGGCGAGAAGTCCAAACATCAGGAAATCCTTTCTGCTACATTCTCCTCCAGTACTTCCTAGAACAGGCGCATCATCATGTCCCGCTCTTCCTCATCCAGCCAGCACTCAGGAATCATTGTTGGACAAGTCAGCCACCAGGACATGTCCTGGTGCATCTGACACGGTTCACCACTGCTAATGTGTTTGAAAAGCTGATTTTATGGGGAGCTAGGGTTATGTTATAAAATGGGTGGAACTCGCACAAGGGGAAGTGGGATTTCATCGAATCCAAGCTGCTTGTATCCGGGTAGAAGTTATGGTTAGCTTGTATATCTCCATGGTGTTAGTCATATTGTATCCTGTATTTTGTCTATTGCTGTGGAAGGTGTACAATAAATAGCATGATACAGTCTATCTAATGTAGACTAACATGTGTAGGGTTAGGTAAATTGAGTACTTTAAGAGCTCTATATATATTACCTCTACTTATGACCAATATAGAAGAGAGGGTGCTCGCTGCAGAACCACAAAGGCAGAGCTGCACCTTAAGGTGGAGCTGCATCAGCGTCAGCCCCGCCCACTCACGCAAACAGCCTAGCCCACTGACTTTTTCTGTTTTTTTTATTTTTATTTTTTTATCGCAAACTAACCTGACCCACATGAATTATGGCTGTTACTAGTTTACAAATGTTAATGCTATGTTCTATGCTCCAATTAAGCAAGATACATATAACTTGCTACATGACAAAGCCTGAATATATCCCGAAATGAAAAGGTTTCATTTAGCAAATATCCGCCCATAGCCGCTCCAACAGAACCAAGGTACAAAAACATTTAAGGACAATGATTTTGTGGGCTCTGGTAGTCTAATGGCAAGATCATCGAACTTAA